CTTTAGGTCTCTTTCCCAAATCCAAAGTTTTGGCAGAATTTCTGCTTTTATTCTTATAAGCAGACAGCTTCCCTTGGGCTGGTGAAACAGGGGACCCGGCGTGGGAGCTTCTCACCAGCTTGTAAGGTGGGGATCTGCTCTCCCCTAAGTGGGGAAGCAAGACTCAGGGGCATTAAACAACAGGAAAATTGGGTAGGCTGCTGGGAACTTTACGTTGTTAGATGTAAGGAAGTTGGAAAGTCTGAGAGTCATTTAGCTAACTTCCCAGCATTTTCTAGAACACCAAAGGGCTACATCTTCCACTATACTGGGAACAATTTTCACACCTGCTAGACCTAGGGTGTTCAATAAATGATTCAATAAAAGAATGTCTGAAAGAATGAAGGAAGAAAGTCAACTCACACACAAACATTCATCAGAACGCTCAGAGCACAGGGTGCTCTCAGGAGTGGAAATGTATGAGTGTCTATTAATTTGCATATTTGACACTTATTGAGCTCCTACTATGTGCCAGACACTGAAACACATTTTATTTTAACAGCTAATAGTGAAGATGTTTTTGAAATGTCAGCGTCTGCTTTGTCACTTTAAAAAGCACAGTTAGGCGACAATCCAGTATTGAGCCTTCAAGAGCATGGAAGATCTTTTTTTTTTTTTTTTTTTTTTTTTTTTTACCTCCTGGTTATTATTCTGGCTAACATCATAGGAAATAATAAAGTTACTAGTTCTTAAGAAGGCAAACTCTGGAGTGAGACTGCCTGGGTTGGAATTCAGGCTTTACCACTCATTAAATATGTAACATTAGATACATTTTGCCTCAGTTTCCCCATCTGTAAAACAGACAAATAATAATGCCCACTGTATAGGGCTGCTGTGAAGATTAAATAATTAAGTACGTTGGCATGTAGGAAGCCCTCACTGTGAATGGTAACTATTTTTGTTATCATATAGGACCCTACCTAGGAAAGAACAAATTTTTAATGGACTACAGGAGTGGGCAAAAGTAGGTTTACAGTTGTGAGTCCATGAAACACAGTTTATTCTTGTATTATGATTTATTTCATATTTATTGTATTACTTATTATCATTACTGTATTATTAGCCTACTTTTGCCCACTCCTGTATATTGAGAACTTGAGGACATACCTTAGAACTTGGTGGTTCTATTTTAATGCCATTTACAGTATGTCTAATGGGAAGAACATACCCCCTTTATTTGTAATTTAACTTCTTTGACTGTGTCCTCGCCTGAAAGTGGAGATAGCAATATTGGCTGATGGGGCTCTTGGGAGGATTATATGTTTGAATACGCCTGGAATTTAGTGGGCTCTCAAAAAAATTACTTTTCTTCTAAGTCAAATATGAGGAAGTAATTCCCTTTAATTAAGAGTGTTGATGAGTTGGGTTCTAGTTAATTGAACTGTAATATGTAAATCAATTTAATCGTGGACCTGCTCTGCCAGATAAACACCCCGCACCTGGTATGGTTTGGTTGAGCACCTTTATTTGTTTGATTTTGAAAGTCTTTCTCTTTATGTAGCTTCTTAACATTGTGGATCTCTTAACTTAGGCTGTAAGCAGTTTGCATTTCAGTTGAAAGAGGATTTTTAAAAGATTTTATAAAACTTTAATTGTTGAACTTAATAGGATTGATTTAAATTAATCCAAGTCAGTTGCAGACAATGGAACAATGGGCTGGTACCTCCTCACTCCTTGTTTATTTTTTGAATAAAAGGAAAAAATGGGAAGTGTTCCAAATTGAGTCACAGGCTGTGGTGAGGATTAAATGAGTAAACATCGTGGGCTGTAGGGAGCCAGATTTTGGGTGGGAACTAGAGGATCCTCAGCAGTCACCCTCAGCCATTAATGTCTCTTTGTGGGATATCTTCTTAGCATGGCCTGAGAGAAGAAAACAAACAGAAAGACATGTTCATTATGACAAAGTAATGTTGAAATAAGGGTGGAAGAGAACTGTGTGAGTTGAGTAAGATCCGAGTAAGAATGCACTGAAACGAGGTTGAGTAAAGGAGGCTAAAGGGAGACTGTGGAACTTTGTCCAATAATAAGTTCATGGGATTATACTTGTTGGATGTATCATATTATCTTATTTTGATAAGTATTGTCACTCTATAGCCCTCACCTTGAAAAAGTGACCTCAATCATGAACACTGTTGACACTTTGGGCTGGATAATTGTTGTGGGGGCCTGGCCTGCATATTCTGTAGGATTTTTAGCAGCCTTCCTGCACCTACTCCACACCTGATACCACCCCTGGACCACAATGATAACCCAGAATGTTTCCAGACCTTCCCAAATGTTCCCTGGGGAGCAAAGTCAACCCCTCAGGTTGAAAAGCAGTTTTGAAAGGATCTCTTCAAACTACTTTATGGGCCCTGGAGGCTTCAGCATCCCTCTTAAACTCTGCTCATGGGAAGGTCATCCCTCTGGCTAACTTCTGCATCCCTCCAGGACTGACTGGCATCCAGTTGAAAACCTTAGAGAGCGCTAGGCGAATCCCTACGATGACAGGCTGCAATGCCACACTCCTAAGGCTTGGGGAACGCTTATTTTTTTAGGTGATGTGAATTTTGTCTCCAGTGGTCCTTGCCCCTGCTAAGTGAGTAGTACATAGGAATAATGACAACTCAATTCTGTTTGTGGGTCCTTTATTTACTATCTGACAATAAACTAGGAGAAAGTCATGCTTAGTTGAGTTACTAAAATAAAGCCTGTAGGTTATCTTCTTAAAAGAGCATCCAAGAATTATTATTTTAATACAGGCATAACCACAAAAGGAGGCTGAGTATGCCACAGTTGGGGGAGGTGAATTGACAAGTGGACATTTAGGAAAACAAAGGTTTTTTGCAAGATAAAAACATTTGTTTTCCTCTCCAGTTACGGGGTTAATGTTATTAACTTGAATGTCACATTTATGCCATTATTGGCAGCATGCATATAATTTAAATATTTTAGCTTCCATTATACAACTGGATCTACATTACTGACCTTCAAGGGTCCCATTCAGAAGGGATGAGGAATGGGAACAATCAGCCACTTCATGCAAGGGCTGGCCAGCAGACTGGGTTTCCCAGCACCGCGGGACAACCAGGACACAGGGACCGCTTTGGAGCTGCTTGGAACATGGCAGGGTCTGGGCAGAGAGTGATTGGGGGCGGGGGGCTGGAGGGTG